GTATATCATTATTATCTCAATGGGATATAATTAAATTAGATGATTTAATAGCGTTGTGGCTGTTAGCCAAGACCTAATATACAATTCTTGCAATATATTAGTTAACGCAATTAATATTACTTAGGCTGCTTTATGAAAATAATTTTCGCCTTTAAGTGGTTCCTTTCAAATATTTTACTACCTACTGTAATTGAAAGTTATTTTTACAGATCGATAACATAACTACTTTAGTCCTTCATTTGCTGGCATATCTTATATACGATATATTTTTTACAACTTTTTTCAATTTTGTGTACAAATATGTGTTAAATAATTTGGACCATAATCAAAACAAAAACTAATGCGTATTTAAAAATTACAATACACTTGCATCATTAGTCTGATCTTGAATGATAATAAATGTATTCCCAAGGAATCTTGTAAAATATCAATTAAATTCAACGAAATGTCGGGACTCCAATCCTTCCCAACGTACACACACTTAGATTCACAAATAGATTATGCTGTTAATTGTTGTAATTATCTTGTTTTTACCAAATTTTTACCAGTTTTTTTACCAAAAAATGATATAACTTTACACCTGACAGCTGTCCTGACCTGAGTACCTGACAGCTGTCAGCACTCCTTTGCCATTTGATTGCATTAAAAATGGTCACTTTGAAAAAATTGATTTTGGGCGGTTTTCTTAACGTCATTTTGAAACTAATTTTTTTACACTTTGTATTAATAGTTATCAAAATGTTGTCAACATTTCATTAAAGTAAGTTCTTTTCAACAAGAAATGAGACTGAAATTAAGTAGGACATATTTCCTTATAGGAAAAATGATTATTTAATCGAGTGGCTGCAACTGTCTGTTTTTAGTAAAGTAATCTAGACACACTATGTTCAATGAGGCCAGGCAAAGTCAACTTTTGTTTTTCTTATGGGCGCCATATTGAATTTCTGCATTTTTAAATTCCCCTTTAAATATGCTCTTTAGCCATGTATAAGATGTTTGTGTTTGGTCAAGATAAATAATTAAAATTAACAAAATTTAGATTTTATGGTAGTAGTTGCTCTTCCGAGTTCAAAGAAGTTGATGACAGAATATTTATAGGCACTTGATTGCGCAACTTTTTCCCCATTTGGTCCTGTAACTCTAACGGTTTCTAATATCCCCATGTACATCATTTTATACTGGACACACTGCATATCAAAAATGGTTAAACTTAGGTATAGGATATTATACATGAAATATATTTAGAATTTGGAGTAGAATTTTCGATCGCTTGCCCTCAACGACTTTATGTCCAATGTGCAATTTTCAAATACATATCTGCTAACTATAGTTTGCCAAATATCGATCGCGGCGGTTCCCGGTGGGCCACCCTGTATATGGTCACTGTGATACTGCTGGACATAAGACTCTGGTAGAAATTTCTATTCCGGTTTGTCTCGCGTTGCATTTATTCAATTTGCGTAGATGCGTTTCAGATGGATTGGTCATCGAGTGAGCGGTTTGTACCTTCTTCAAAGCGCATATTGTCTATGTTCCCATTCGGTTACTTTTCCATCCATCCCGGTAACCCGTCCAACCAATATGAAGTTTCTAGCATTGTATTTTTTATCAATTCACTATTCATCAGTATCTTTCAATAATCCTGTATATACTATGTGATTTTTTCAAGTGATTTAAAATATTTAATTGATTCTTTCTCCTTACTGAGAAACATTAACCGCATCAAATGCTTATTATGGATGGTACTAAACCATCAAAATAGTAAAAAAAAAAGTACGCAAAGTTTAAATCTGCTGAGAACTAATTGATGTTGGTATGTAGAACTGACGTGAAGCGAATGGTCTACATGTGAAAATCTGAGAAACGCAGGTAGTTTAAATCAGAGACAAGGGATAAAATAGTATTTCTTGTCTCTGGTTTAAATGATTATTAGAGTATTTCATCCCTTGACTAGTCGTTATCCAGCAGGCAGCAGGTTTTTGTTAGGTTCTAAAGTATTTAGAGTTATACAAAATTGATGTCGGTCATTCTAAGGAGTCATTGCACAGTACGAGATAACTATACAATAATAAGAACGTTTATTGTGCAAAAACATTAACATTCCGGATTACGATCCGGTCTCAAGCATTATTAGTAGCATTCAGAAATCTTCTTTCCAATGCCTTATTGGCATCAACGCTTTTGAATAATAAAAAAAATCAAGATAGATAATAACGCTTATTTAATGTGTTTTTTCTCAAAACGGTTACTCCAAATTGCAGTTGTCTCCCAAGAAACAAACACAAGGCGCCCATGTTGCCTCTGTCTCATATACAGGATGCTTCAACAAACGAACGCCCCAGTAAAAAGTTGGAATGAACTACAAGTTTTAAGCCGTTTTTGGTCTACAGTTTTCTTTTTCGTTTGTTTTGAAGTCAGTATCTGATTGCAGTGCCAGTTTCATTTTTACTTTTATTAGAAACATCAAATTCACCTCTCTTAAAGGATTTAATCGGTTTTTAAGACACGTTCAAAAAGGCCCAATCTACTATTAATGCAAGAAAACAAACACTTCAACCCTCAACACAATGTTGCCCCGTATCAATGAGTTTACGTTAGTATATACAGTTAGTTAAAAAGTGTATAAAAAGTATAATTATAAAATAATTTTGGTATAGTTTAATCTCATCAATTGCAGAAACAAAATGTATAACGAAGATTTGATGCTCAGGTTTTCGAGGACGTATTGTTTAAATATGTAAAAGCAATAACATTGATTCTTCTAAACTACTGATTATTCTCGTTTCGAATAATTTTATTTGATTTTCTAATAATGTTTAACAAGATGTGACACCTCGTCAACGGGTTGTTAGATTTTATCTGGTAATTAATGAAATATGCTTTCTTTTTAATTATGGTGCTCCGCTTTTACTTTATAATAGCCCAAATATATGAACGAAAATTATGATATTTGAAACATAAGTTTTGTATCGACGACGAATGACTTACATATTCTGGTTCAAATGAGAGATTTTTTTTATTTAGATGTGAAGAATATGTGTTTGCCCACAATATATTAAATATACGGGCAGTTTTTTTCGTTACTAACATCTAAGCTTTCAAATACTACATTTGTCTGTTGATTACTAAATAACTTTCGGTCGGGCACTTAATTGCTATCGGTGTGATTTTAATGTATAGTTGATAACATTAACTTTGATTGACTGATATTAGAGCGGTCAAATTAATAGTAAAATACAGAGTGGCATCTAGAAAACGAACCAGAATGGCCACTTCGACAAACAAAATTGTCGCTACCGAAGCGACGTAAATCTGCATGAATTTACGGAGGCTCATAGAGCCTTTACGAAGTTACGTGGTCAGACGTAAAAAATGGGGGTATGATCAATTTGCTGCATAAAGCGATCCTAAAATCCAAGCAATTTGTATGTGACTACTCCCCGTTCTTGTCTGGAATATTCTGATGTCCACCTCATCGGGTCAACGTGGACTTGATGTTGACGCATTATAAGTTCATTGGTCACTGTATGACTGATGTTAATTGGTCATATTATTGTGTCTTATTTAGATTTATTTCTATTTGAAGAAACCAGTTTATTTTTATCAGACTGTTTTTTGTTATCAGACTATCAGACGTATTTTTAGTATGTGTTAGCTGTACTTTATTGTTACTATTATTATTAGACAATAAACATAGGATGTTGGCAATTAATGTTAATGGCGTATCAAGTTCTCAAGACTCTGATAGTGATAAATAAATAAACGTGCATTTAAAATTTCCAAAATATTTGACGCCATACTTACCTTGGACAAAGATATTTTCAGATCAGAAATAATCTAAAATAATTTACAGTTTAAAACAGGGGTTTTTAAATATTTCGCACGCCCATGTTTCACAAAGAATACGCCGACTGTTTACCCAGATTTAGTTTTTATGCTAGCCCAAGTTAGTTCGTGGATACTATACACAGGAAAAATTAGTGTGTGCACATCATAGAGACAGTAATTTTTTTTTTCAATTTTACTTGCTCTATGGTGCACATGATAAAATAACTTGGACCTTTTCTTAAGAATGGAACCTTAGCTGCCCAAGTCTATGAAAATGTGCTAGAAATCTCCAAAGAAACATTCATAGTTCGTGGGCGCCAGAGGCAGAAAGCCAGAGGAACGGTAATAGCAGTTTAGCTTTAGATGAACACTTTCTGCATTTTTAACAAGACGGAACTCCACCCCATTATCATAACAGTGTACGAGAGTGGCTGGATGCCGACTACCCAAATCAATGAATTGGCATTATTATATCTCATTCCACTCGACTAGTTTTTTGGGGCCACTATATGTAAATGTTTAAAATTCATTCAGAGTCTGTTGAACACTTTTGGTCAAAAATCATTGATATACCCTAGAAAAACACTTGAAACAATGAAAAAATTTAAACTTTTTCAAAACAGTACAACTAGTGTTAAGTACTTAGCATCTTAATGTTTAGTTTACCTTTTTTACGTATGCAAAACAAAGTGTGCGGAAAATATAAACCTTTTTCATTTTTTATTTTAACAAGTCGTTAATTCGTCTGTAAAGACTACAGCGACTTTAAACTCGGGAACACCACAATGATATAAACCTCTCTCAAATGAGATATCACTCGACCTCATCTCTTATTTAACATTTAACCCTCGGGCCAGAGCACCAGCTAAAAAGTGCAATTTTGGATTTGCCGTGATGTTGACAAAACATTATTTTTCATCTATTTTTTGCCGCAGGATTTATAAACCACTGTTCGTTCTTAAAATGCTACCAAATATTCAATTAATATTTGTATACCCATTATTATATGATTGATTCTTAGAGAGAAAAAAGTAGAATTCGCTGTAGCATAGGCACTACAGCGTAAACGCGGAAGTAGCGCTCACCTTCCATGAACCCATTGAAAAGGGATGTTCTATAAATCATTGATTGGCATGAATCCACAAAGTCGTGAAAAGAATGAAACGAACTCAAATGAGGCAGTCGTGATTCTTGAGACCACACGTAGTCTTCATTGAATATATAGTTGAAAGTCCGTGAGGTTTAGAGCCAGAACAATAGACTCACACTACAGTGGTTGATGGCAACAGTGTAAGTCCCAAATAGCACAATATTTAAACTCTCTATCTACCTGTACACCTTGATGCCAATACCACCGTTCTAACTTGGTGCTTAGTTCGACCGGGTTCACCTACAATATTTTGCTATCGCCATTCCGTCCGTTGTTCACCCAATCTGTTTGTCTTTCTCCGTTTCTTCATTCCATTTTCTTCGGGACAGCTTCAGTCTTCACGATTTCAGTGTAACGTATGGAGTTCGTTAACTTGCCGCCTGTTATGAAACTGTTTGTTTTTTCATTTCCCGCTCAATTAATGTTATTATCTAATCGAAATTTCGAATTATGATTAATAAGTTTCGGTACAAGAAGCCACTTCAGGCGCAATCTGGAGTCGGTGGTGAAGTGAAGGAGTTCAATACGCTACCACGTACTAAGAGTAAAGTGAGTGAACATGCAACTAAAAAGGATACAGTTTTCTCCAAAACTTTGGATGCTGACGCAAAATGGAAATTGAAAGTAAGTCTATTTTTTCAAACTAATTGAATTATGTGCAGATACATTTCAGGGGTTGCGCAGGATTGGATTTGTTGATAAATCTTTGATTTTTTCACAGATGGTGAAGCGTAATTTGCAACTGCAATGCTAATTATGTTGCTATATCGTATAATTTGTGAAAAAAAAAACATGTAAAACAAATACAAAGTCTAAAAAATGAAAAATTTGTTTTAAGATTAGTAATTTTAATTGATAAATAAATATTACCCGCAATACATTACAAACATAGATATGCAAAGCGCGTTTAAAATTTTAGATGCAAATAATTTTGTACTGGTTGGTTCAAAACCTCTTTCTTTTATATTATTATACATATTTATATTTTAACAAATTTACAACGAACTTTTGAAGCAAATGTTTCAAATGCACATTACTTCTATTTAAAAAGTATTACCATAAGATTGTTTTCGGGAAAAACAGATACGAATATGCCAATTATTCTTTGTGAAATATAAGGTGTGACGTACAATAGGTTTGTTCTTAGGCAAAGTATTGGCTATCGGGAGCGTTGCAACCTTCACATTCTGTTTCATATTTACATTGCTAATTTCACTATTGTTAAAACCTACATATAACACACTGGATACATACTTAAATATATATTATTCCAAATGCTTAAAAATATTAAGTAATGTGTAGGTACTCACAGAACATTGTCGCTGTTGTTTATTTTATAGTCGCATAGTGTAGTACATTCATTCATTCAGCAAATCATTAGTGTATTTTTAGCGCATATTCTTAAGCAAAGCATAGGCAAATCGTTACATTTGAAGATTACACAATGGGCTTCCTGGCAAAGTTAATCATTGACAATATCCCATAGATATAATATCCGCTTTAAGAATTAACATCATAATTGTTTTAATATTATGTTAAATATTAATTATGGGAAACCAATTTATTAAGCATTTATAATCATTTACATGTTTATAGAATCCGTAACTAGCTAAGCCGAAGCTATCGTAACTAAAAAAGATGAATGATTTAGTGATTTAAACTGTTAACTGATAGTAATTGTTTGCAGGCGTTAAATAATTGTCAGAAATTTTCATTGTTTGTTTAATGTGAACTGATTCTTGTTAAGTTGTCAAACGAAATATTGGAAAGGCAAACATTTTGAAAATTGCAACCAATTTGCAGCGAATTGTTTATTTACGAAATTGATAAACAGTGTTAACAGCAGCGAAATAAGTAAATAATAATATTTAATAATATAGATATAGATTTATTATTCCAGCATTTTCGCATTTTTTTATGTAACTAATTGATCTGAATTTTATTCAAAAAGGAAAACAGTGCATTTGCTACTTTGAGTGTAAACCGACCCATATAAACATGATAAACCAATCTAGGTAATTATGATTATGAATAAGTACTGGATGCCAATATATTGAATATTCCGGGTAATATGTCAAATTTCAGATATTTTATTGAATGCTTTTAATGAATAGATGCAATATTTTATATATTTTATTATTCCCTATCAATGTCAAGGGTTTTTCCAAACTACTGTGCAGTGTGGAGACTTGGATTTTCTGAAGCCATAAAAAAGTAAGCGTTCATATATTATGTTTCTGAGAAAAACAATAGCCATGATCGGTCTTTGTGCGAGAATTCCGTTATAAACAACTATTACTTTTTCTCATAATTTAATCACGTTATAGTGGGAACGCCAGTAATAGCAGTTTAATTTGGAAATTTATTAATTACTTCTTGATATGTGTTTATTATAACTGCATATTGGTAATGCAGTGAAGTTCTCTTAATATCAAAGCAAAACAAACTGTACTATAGGCACCAGCATTTCACTTTTTATATTTGAGGTCAAATTCACTTTGTTGGAACTTCTTTGTTTCATCCGTTTTACTCGGTTCGGTCTCCTATAATTGCAAGTCATCAGTATATAGATAGAAAAAAACACCTGGCAAAATTTTAAATTTGCGACAAGCGTTCCACTTATCAAAGAACTGCTTCTTCTTCACGCTTAATTATTGTAGCTATCTGTATGGGACTTTTTAAATTATAAATCCTTTGTCTTAAAACCAACTTTTGCTGGCTTATGTCAACCAGCCGTCCCAACTGTTCTTTGTGTGAGCTGCATAAAGCAATTTCGATTTACTAAAGCTCAATTTTTAAAATTCAAAGTAAATTTCAAAGTTTTCAAACTTTAAAGTTCAAAATTCTCTTTCTACCGATTGCCCAAATGATAAAAACAATATTAGAACAAAAAAGAGATACATATCGAATACATGATACGAGCAGTAAACGTTTTTGTTGAATATTTTGAAGTTTCAAAATCGTTTTCTGTTAATAAATTTCAAATTCCCAATTTCTTTAACATTATTATCCTGATCTCATATTCGTTCAAAATACACATTACATCACTTAAAAGTATATATATACCAGAAAACAAGTATTTCTCTTTTTTACCTGCATCAAAATTTGTTTAAAAAGCTCTTCGGACAAGAATATCAGTCCATTGCCGATTGGGTTTTGCTTCTCTAGTGACTAAAGTTCAAAAATAAAGAATGTTTTTTGCAATTTAGACTTCAAATGATTTTAATACATGAAATCTAAGAGCGGTTTTAATAATTCTCATTAAATGAAAATGAATTACTTAACTTAAATTAATAAATTTCATTATGTAAATATAATAATATACTATAATATATTATAATACTTATTATTATTAATTAATAAATTAATTCTTGTTCGGATGGTAGATCTTGTCTTTATTATTTCGCATTAATCTTGAATGTTTGCATTTCGCGTGAAAACTAGAAACATTTCCAAAATAGTTTTTTTTTTAATCAAAAGTGCGCAATTTATAGCTCTACCCGACAATGGCATATTGAGTTTTGCAGCTCAACCGCTTCTTTAAATTTAGCCGAAAGCAAACGAAAACCAGCTACATTTCCAAAATACTGTTTGTTATAGGAAACTGCACAATTTAAAGCTCTATTCGGCAATGACACATACAGGTTTGCAGTTCAACCGCTTCTATAATAAACCCAAACCCAAGCGTAGCTTTAAAACTCGCATTTATCTTGAATTTTGCGCCAAAAATAAAAATATTTCCGAAATAGTTTTAACTATAAAAAAGTGCTCAATTTACAGTTCTATCAGGCAAACACATTGATTTTTGCACCTCAACCACCTCTCTAAATATGCTCCAAACACTTCGAGCTGCTTTAAAGACCCGCATTTAATTTAGCTATCCGGCATTGTCGCATGGGGCTTTATTTAAAAAGAACGGTTTAAAAGTCCGCATGATCATGAACATGAACTAAAGCAAATTGTTTGCCAAAAAATATTTGCTAAATTTTGAAAAGTGGAAAAATAACTCCTGGTTTGGCCAGGATCACACGCAGCACCGTAAGGTGCTATTCGCCATAGACAAAGTAATGCTAAACTAACCTAATGCTGCATCGAGCCAACTGCAAAAAAGAAAAACAGTTTATATTATTACACAAACTTAGTCTGAAACCCAGTGATTTGAATGGAAAGAAAACTAAATAAAAAAACTGAAAAAAAATTAATTGATTCTCGAAAAACCATGCTCAATTCAAGCTCAGGGTTGATAGATTAATAATCGTTCTTACCAGTTAACCCATAGGGTTACTCTTCACAGTAGTTACTTTAAGTTCAATATTGCTTGTGGTATCAACTTAATTAATAATTTTAGTAATCTTTGGAACTTACCTAGAAGATCAAAAGTTGTCCAATCTACCACTTCCACAACCAGATATTAGTAGATCGATCTAGTAATATCTTTCTCGATTAATCTCTGCTACAAGGTATTAATGTTTACGATAATATGTGTTATATCACAAACATGAATTGATTAGATCTTAAATATGTTATGTGATCCGGCCACAATAATGGGCGTTAATGAAATATATCCTTCATTTGGACCGCACACTCTTTTCACGAAATTCTATACAGTAGGACGAACTGCATTGCATTAACAAGTACATTACACTTTCATTGTTTATTATTATTGAAATTTAATTTAAACGTTATGTTTTTGTTCATGTTCAGAGACATTTGGGGTGATTATTCGTTGACCAAACATACAGGTGCAGAAACGAATTTCTGTGGTTTATAAATATATAGGCAGGACCCCAATTACCTATAAATGGCAGGTATAAAAAAGAGTGGCAACAGGGGAACGGTGATTGCTGAAGGCGGACGCATTGGTGGGGGTACTGCTCGATTCTCCGAATTTCAGGGTAAAATATTTAGTCATCGTTGGAATTCTGGTCATTAAGTTTTTAACACAAATTCCAGAGGGTCTGATAGTTGCTACATTGATTTTCGTAGTCACCCGAAGCATTAAATAAACTAATACTGCTTAAGCGGCTATTTTCTATTTCTTATTTTCTAAAATCATGTTTTTGGGCTTCAAATGCTTTTTTCTCGTCGGATGATGCGTCCCGCTTTCACCATCTCTTCGGTGGTCTTTCTTTGATTCGCCTATAATGTTTGATGATTTTGGTTATCCAGTCATAAGCAACCCTGGCTACATTGTCTCTCCACTATCGTCTTCAATCTCTGAGTCATTGTACCACATCTTCCACTTTCCCCTGCTCCCTAATATATTTGTTTTTGATTGCCCTGTTATTGCTCGCGTAATTCTCAATATCGCTCTCAAACAAGCGCTTTGTAGCTGCGGTTCCGGCTCTAATTTACCCTGCATAAATCAAGACAGATCTTACACACATTTCCAAACATTCTTATTTTACGCTTAATTGACACATGTTTCTCCAGTTGATTAGTGAACTGGATTTTAACTTCCTTCGTCCGGCTTCTGTTGCTGGAAATGTTGGCGCCGTGACACTTCAAACGCATGACCTGCGTCCCGATTATTTAGATGTTGTTAAATATTCCAGTTTAAACATACTAAAGATTTAAATATTAAATAATAAATATTAAAGATTTAGTTGATTTCCTCGAATTTAAGCAGAATCCCATGCTTTTCACGGATACATTTTAGCCATAACTAAGCTAAACAGGATTGGCAAAGATTGTCTCTTTGCCGATTGCCATTTGCGACACATATTTTCCTTTTTTCATGACGTTTTGTTCCCTGTTTCAATTGTTGTGATGCAAATCAATAATGCTCTATCGAATTCCTTTATGAGATGACCAAAGCTGATAGAAGTTGTCTTGTTATGTTTGATGCGCTTGTCTGCAATTTATATCTGTCCAATAGATAAAAGTTAATTTTGGAAATTTAATTACTCATTTCCAAACCATATCTCCATTTCCAAACCTTATGCAAGACGGCACCCTAATAAGGGGATTTAAACTTGATTTTGCAACAATCCCATAACTACTAATTATGTATATATGGGAAGTAAATAAGTGAATAATTTCATAAAGACCCCGTTTCAAAATTACTCGTTTCACACAAAATGTAATATGAGAAACGAAAGTATAAACTGCTGGATAATCAATGTATAAAAAAAATGTTTTAATCTTCAATGTATAAATCGCTGGCTTATGACTACGGCCACCTTATTTTTATTTTTACGTTTTTTCATTATCAGGTAATCCGTGATTAAACAAAATTACTCAGATTTGTTTACCTGAAAGTATCGCATAATCTTATGTTAAAATGAAAAAGCCAATATTTGTTCACAGTTTCGTTGAACTTTTTAAAATGTTTTAAGTGCTTTCAGTACAATTGGTTGCAGTCATAAAAAGTTTTATTACACTTTTAGCTATGGAGCTTACCATAATCCTTTAACATGAACATGAATAAAGACATTTGAAAAATGTTTTGAAATTTGATATTTAAATGCAAATTATGTTACTTTCAGTTATAGAATACTCCTTGCAAAACTCTCGCAAAAATAAGTTCAATATAGTTCGAGTTAGTCTTAAGAAATAGAACAGAATATGAATATTATATATTATTTTTAGCTTGCTGAACTGGTAAACACAAGGGTAAAAAATTCACTTCCAAAGAAGTGTCTGCTTTCTCTAATAAAGTTTCTCTTCAAGTGAACGTTTGCACTTAAAAACACATAAGATGAGGAAATTTTTTAATTTTAAATGTAAACTTGCAGTTTATTTTTATTGCAAATTATGAACAATTTTACTATTCAAAGTGAAAAAGATAAGGTAAAATAAAGAATTAAAACATTTGAAATAAATTTTTGCGGTATTTATCCGCGATGGTATCTATCTGCCTATGTAGGTCGCTGGTTATAACTTTTTGTAGTTCTGTTGATTCGAGTTCCGAAATTGACTCACAACCGGTTTCATTGATATTGAATTGGAACCCGTTACTTGGTAAATCAAGCCTTCTTTAATTTGCAACAGACTATCTGATTTTTAAGTCATTTTAATTTTATACGAATATTTTTTCCTTGTTCAAACCGACAGATACAGTTTATTTAATAACTAATATAGTTATTAAAATAATTAATAAACTTTATTAATATAGTGTGATTCTATTTTTAATGTGAGAATTTGCGTGACACTTGAAAACTGAGATACATTCTTTATTATGTAAGTTCCGAAATACTCTGCATTGTTCTAATATAAAAAAAAATAAACAGAAAAATAGCTAAATAATAATAAATATAGATATAAATAAAATGAATGCAATAGTTTTAATTGCCTAAACATACTAGGTATAGAACTCATTACATATTTTTATAAAGAAACGTTAAAATAATGGAATTGGTTACAAAATGTATTAACTTAGTGTTCAAATGTTATGTGAAATGTATATTAATGAAACGGTAAAAATAGCAAACTAAGACAAACTTTTTATTAAAAACAGCTAATATTTCGACAGAAGTCAATGGCGCCTGTTGTATGGCGTCACGTTTATTTGACCTTAAGGAATTATCGAAGTTTGAGCAGAGAACAAAATTTTCTTTACCATTTATAAGTTATTAGAAAACTGAAAAAAAAACAGCAAATTTCGCACGTGTTTCGGAAACGCAGCATAGTGATCTCAGCTTTTTAGGGCTTTTATCATTGTTTCCACCAGATCTATTTCATATAAAAACTTTTAGGTCATTGTTAAAAATAATTGAGCTTACATTGGACTGATCCTAAATCAGTCAATAAATTAATTGTTAAATTAAAATAAAGGTTAAAATAAAAATTTACGACACTTTTTTATGAAATACAGCGATTGGCTTTCTCAAGGATCACTTCTTTGATGGCGTCATTTTTTCTCTCCATGCAATATAATTCTTAACGTAGGTAGAGCACTAATTTTTTTAAATGGAAAGTAAACATTTTAAATGTCACATGTACATCATATACACTATTTATGATAATTTACAAATTATATCATTCCTGCAAAACATTTATCGTATATGTACCTCCGTATAACGCCTTTTACGACCATGAGTTCATATATGGTTCTTTCGATGTGCTTCGGAAGAGCAGAAAAAACGTTAAGGAGGCATTTCCTTTGTGAATGAAGCTCGAGCATAGGTGGCGTTAATTTTAAGAATTCATTAAAATTATGTCACCATTATTTTCATATGCATAATATGTAGAACGCAGCCTTGATTTTGTTTTATTGTGTCAAAAGCCTAAATCGGTAAAAGAAAAATGAATAAAAATAAAAGATCCATCGAACCTACGGTCCAAGGAATTAGTACGTCAAATCTATGACGATGTAAGGAAAGGAAATCCAATTTCAAATATAGTCATAATTAGATTTTGTCTGAAAAAACGGTACTATTTGGTGGTATTTGGTAGTGGTAAAACCACACTATTTTACGTTAGTCAACTGAATTAGACTTCGCATCAGATGGTACCCTTGAATTTTGACTGGAGGACAACGTTTCTTAATTGAAATACTGAGAATGGTAAATTTTCACTTTTCTGCTTTAAAAAAATATGTCTTAATTATGTAAGTTGTCTGGATATATGAGTACAATGCTTCACCACATACATATTCAGGAGATTTAAATCTATTGCTCTAACTCAACTGATTCATATCTCAAGTTGCTTCCTTTGACCAGTGAAGGCCAACAAAATTTAAAAATTATGCTTAATCATCCGTTCTTAGTACTTTCTTCAGATCGCGCCAACGGATTTTCCTGCAATTTGGGACGTAAGGAATCCCAGAATTGTCGTACAGTGATAAACAGCATTTCTTCGAAAAATATTACAGATCTACTCATAACGAATTCTTTGAAATGTTCACTCGATGAGGATTTAAAAATATTTTTTCTCTTTTTACTGCGCTGCCATAATTTAGTAGATTTCTTGTCTCAGAGGGAAAGTTTATCAGACAGGACTTTAAGGAAAAAATGCTTGGCATATCTGAAATTAAATGAATATGCAAGAAAGAGTAGGGCTTCTTGCTGTACTTACATCAGCAAAGAACTCTGAGAGTATTTTAATTTCGATTTGATAATAAATGTATCCATGTTTTTAATTTTGTTATTGCCTAATAATAAAATTAATCTAAAAATGTAGTATTTTTCGAACAAAGGGTTCGATGGGGGACGATGGAATCTTTACATAAGCTGAGGGAAGCAATTTTGGAATGTAAAACGTGATTAATTCAAAGTCAAGAGTTCAAAAAAAAAAATAGGTGAATTCAAATTTAAAGAAAATGTCAGATTTTGGAAGAAATTTGGTCAGAAAGTTGGAAATGTTAAGGACAGGCGCACAATTCATTGATCCCGTTATGTATAATATAAAACGACAAGTGCTTCTTCTACATAATTTCCTTTTAAGGAAGTTGCAGATGGAATATTTCTTATAGTTATATGATTTGCTTCCTAGACTTGCCGCTACTTACGGCTAATAAACTAAGCCATTAAAAGGAGAAAGTCGAATTGGGGAATATTTGGCTGAACTAATGACTCGATTCTAGATGTTCGTTCATTAAAATTTTTCATTAAAGATGCATTTGATTGAACTCAATACCATCAAATTTTGGCTATTACCCATATATTAATAAAACTTTCACTTTCCGATATTTAGTAGTTTACCTTTATATTGTGCTATTATTCGATAAAAATCCAGTTGGGATATCTGTTAAGTTGATACCACACTAAAACAATAACTAAAGCCACATTCTTTTTTGCAGGAATTATTCTCCGAGCTTCAACATAGTCAAGCGAAAGCCCTGCCTCCTGACTCCCTACGTAAAGCCCTTGCTGATTCGTTCCTAGATCAGCAAAGGTTTCAGATTGGATTTATGGATGACGCAGGTAACAAGATATTCAAAGTGATTAATTTCCATCAATTGGGCAAAAAACCGATTGAGAATTACATTTTACTCAATTGCTTGGCCAATATTTTGTTAACTTAGTTTCGTGAAAGAACAAAGAAATTTTGTGTCACGCAAGTGTAGATATATGTAGTGTTGGCATGGCGAAATAACGCTCTTAACTAAATCTATAAATGATGTTGCTATCGTATCATGCATGGTGTGAGACTAAAGAACGACCTGCAGGCAATTGACTCATGACCAAACACTCCGTTTTAGCCGAATGTTTCGAGAATATGCTGCTGAGAATTCACGACCATATTGCACATAAGGAACCGGAAGATGCTTGCTCTGCCCCACATTGTATTTCGCATCAAAAATTTGCCATGACCTTAGTTGAGCAATCAGTTTGCGACAATTGTGGAGCCACAACTGAACCTATGAGCTTTACACAGGTAAGTACACATTTACAATTTGGAAACGTTAAAATGTGCCACGAGCATTCAAGCAGCAGAAAAATGTGAATATTGAATTTCATTGGTGAGATTGAGAACATGATGACCACTCATATTATATATTATATTATATAAGTGAGACCGATTAAATTCAACTTCAATCTGGTTGTACCGATCAATGGCAATTGACACCGACTAGCTACTACTGCATCATCATTTAATTTTAAACTTTTTTTATTATAAAATATACATTTTTAAAGATTATGAAATTTCCCGTTATTGGCAATTACATGCATTATCAGCAGTAGGCTGATAGTAGCATTCACAAAGGTCCTCAATTCAAGCAGCATGAAACTTGTTTAAATAAAAACAATTGTAATATTCTTTTACATTTTTAACTATACTTTTTCAAGTATAGTTTAGAAGAAACGAAAGACCAATTTTTATCCTTCTTTATTTTTAAGAACTAATTCGGTTGCCTAAGGCTTAATAACTTAATTTTCATACGTCTTAAAGACAAATTTAAGGTTTCAAGAGGGCAAAGACCTAAAAGAACGTTAATATTTACCAATCATAAGTTTGTGTAAATTTTAAATCTGATGATGCGCTGTTGTCTCGCCGAAACGTAGTGAAATAAACGATATTCAAAAATTTTTACTTCACACTTTGACTGAGTCCCAGGAAAGATAAGAATATAATAGTAATTTGTTATGTCAATCGGGCATTCAACATTCAAACAAAAACATGAACCCAACAAAAAACCAATTCTGTTTACCAATCTTGTATCCCATACTTTAAAATGGGCTTAGTTTCTCCGAAGGTTCTATTCTAAACTCGACGAAACTGTTTCAATCGGCCCTGCAGAGGAGCGAATAAGCAAAATAATAGATAATATTAAATGATACATTTAACATAAATTATTGCGTATTATTCTTCTGACGGATTTGCCAATTCATCACTCTTTCAGTTTGGAATCTATTGAATTGTTTTCTCAAGACAATAACATAAAACCCACTTTTGTAATGTACGCAACATACATAAATGTAATAAATGCTTTTGGTCAATGTTTATCCATAAGGAATTAAAGAAAATTTTCAAAGCAAAAGTAAGTTTGACGAGCTGCAGTCAATTCAAATCAAAATATGCTTTATTGCCACAGAAAAATTTCACAAATTTTATGGAGTATATTCACTAGTCTAGTGAGTCACGTTTGTCTTAGTAATAATATAGAAATACACTTTCGAATTCTAAAATCCATCAACTCAGTTTTTTATAATATTCCTCCCACAAAATATCGCATCTAAGAATTCGGATTCTTTTTCTGCAGTTATAAAGTCGCAAACTTCTTCCTATATAAAACTTATGCTGCAATATGATCATATCTTATTTTATCTTATGCACAATAAATATTTTTTCCGCGAGCCTTTTGCTACTTTACGATAATACGTAGGTATTCATACCATTGTAATTGTTACTTTGGTATTAACAGCTAGTATGAAACACGTAATGCATCAAATATTTTTCGTAAGAAATGACTATTAATGATCTACAGACGTGAAATCAGGTTTTTGGAAACCCTTGCTAAACCATTTGAAAGATTGAAAAACTATCGAATTTGGTCTTGATCTACAATAAGAAGAAGGGTCCGAATCTTCAAAAAATTCCGCTTAATTAAATTTTAATCTTCAGAAAAATTATTTCTAGTAAATCCCTATATTAACAGCACAGTTTACCTTGGTAAACTAGCATTCTTAAGTTCATTATTAGATCAAGGATATTATAAAATCCAAAGGAATTTGCAAAAGAATGTACGCATATGGTAATATCGACAAGAAGCTAATTATAATTACGCAAGCGTAATGGTTGTTACTAGCTGTTGTTAATATTAACTAACCCATAATTGCTAGTTTACAATTCAGAAACTGTTCGATATATTCAGAGTTTCGTTGTATTTATTTATATGAACGTGTCTTGAGCATACGGTTTTCGAACGATGCTAAACTATTAATCAAAATAGTACTACTTGGCCAAAGTAGCGCACAAGTATTACAAACGCAATAAACAGAATCTGAATCAATAATGTTTAACTAAAGCGTTTTTACTGATATTGCAAATCTATATAAATATTGTCGTTTATCTTTTATGAGTTAAAACTTATTGTTTGAGATACGATCAAAAAGCAGTTAAGAAGTCACCCCTTTCAAACATATTCACTTCAATCCCTTTCAAACATATTCACAAAATTTACCTGAAAACATTGGGGTTTTTATTACATGTAGCACCCTACCATACAGAAGCTGAGAATGCCGCTTATCTATTTAAATAAGTTTTTACAGAAAATTGCTGCTTACGTTTTTTTAGCCAGCGGGAAAGCAGAACTTTTTACTTTTGTCGAATCTTTGAATACAGCCAATGGGCGCAATTGCTTTGCGTTAAAAATGCTTACTTGTATGTAGACTTGAACTGTACTTAATTGACGGACTGTTTCATAAATGTGTAAAAATGGTCTTAACTTTTATTGGAAAATTATGTACCGACAGCGTTATTCATTGATAATGATTTAAAATTTTCAGATGGTTCAGTACGTGTCCACATCCACACTCGTCCATCAGTTACGTATTAGTGTGGGGCAGTTAAGCCAACCTGATTCTTTTGGTCGACTTTTGCAAAAAGCCGTCAACATGGGAGAAGGCCGACAATGCCCGGTAAGTCGAATATAATGTGAACAAATTAAATCGAGAATTGAAACGAAATATATTGCAATATGATAAACTAATTTATCAAACACGGTACCTACTTGCTCATCTTAATAGCTAGAACCGAAGAACTTTTTTACTTCTAAGCATGTTGTATATTTAATTTATTTTCTACAAATTACATGAAGTTTGTATGAATCTGCATAGTTTTTTGAGAATACCTGAATCTCTGAATTAATACGTATTGATATTTTCAGCAATTTCGTGTTGCTCTAGTTGCAAATATTCCATTTGTGCATTACAAATAGGTTTCCTTAAATTTAGTCAATTGTTCTTTATACAGGGTGATTTAAAATTGGCGTCATTCCTTTTAAGGGATGATGGAGGCTCACTTGGGGAGTACGAGAAAAATATTGAAAATTTCTAGAAGATATTAAGTTGAAGATCGAATTTCAACTTTGCTATTAAGGATTATTTTGAAATTGTTCCATGTTTAATTAGTAGCATATTGGAATACTTAAGCATTCAAAAAGAAAAATTACGATCTTTGCTTCAAACTACGAAAATTTTCGATATTGAAAAAGTTCTGTTCTACAATTTTTTGATGGAAAGGCACAGCGGCATTATGTTTTTTGCCATTAACAGATAGTTACAGGTGGATAGCCCTTGTCAATAATTACAATAATCTGTCAAACTGTGACTTACCTTGAATTTTCTTTCACGAATTTGCGGATCTGCGATTAGTTTAGGGGAAATGCTACAGTAACATAGCAGGAGCTGAAAAAACTCACGCCAATAAAGGGCAAGGAGAGTGGTTCCAGGAAGATAGTGGACGACAATCGATGTTCGGGTTCCAAGCACAGAGGAACAAGTATTGGACATAATCGAATCAGGGCCTTCCAGGGGCACTCAGAGCACAATAACTGACACTTTCCCAGGCACCAACTAAATACCGGCTACATTCCTACCACGTTTGTACGATACACACAGCACAAGGAGATACAAATGGAGCACGAGTTAATTAACTGAATGCGAGAAGCTGCTTGATAAGAGTGGATAATAAGGAGATTACACGGGCACCAGCTTGTTTGCAGTTAAACATTCAAATATTTCGTGTTGTATGGATTATTTATGTAAACACAAACAGAGGCAAGTTTCTGACACAAAACCCCGCAGAATTCGAGGTTATGAGAACAGGTTGACATTTCGAAATAGGTTCCGTCATTCAACGATTCCTGTTGAATTTACCGTTTATCCTTGTCTATCTTATTTTCACTCTATTTATCCATGGTTACCGGAATTTTAAATAATTACGAAGCAACAGGTATTTGCGCAATGTTAATTAGGAAGATTACTTTGAAAAACATTGCTGCCGTATTCCTGATATAGTTTTTTGCAAATTTCTCAGTTTTTAATAACAATTAATTTATTTTACGTTTTTCTGTACTCCTATAACACCGCCAGACAACACCCCCCGAGGAATGACGCCTATATTGAATCACCCTGTATATCAGTGGCAGTGATGATGACGCATTTGTCGAAAACGCGCGGCCATAGCTTTTGTTCAAGGGTTATTTAATATTCTGGAATTACATGCAAAGTTTATAACAAAAAGTTTGACTCAAATTTATACAGTGTGTACACATTCACGTTATCCTTTCTTTAGATACTGCTACTTCAGGATACGCATATCCTATCAAAAATCGTCAGGTGGTTAGTTTGGGTTAGTTCATGTCGTGAGATACAAAAATATTGAAACACCTAGAGAATTACAAATTAAATGGTTTATCACAATGCGCCAAACAAACTGATTTTATAAATTGTCAAAGCCGAATCGGTAACATGATCGAATCCAAAGACAATTGTTTCTAACAATGTAAATACAGGTTTAGAAACCAAAACAAGACTGTTTAGAAAAGTGCATTTTGCATTTTTGGTTGTCACGAAATATAAGGTCTTTTGTTTGAATTAAGCCAGTTTGGGATGTATAAGCAAATTTTATAGCGCTGTGTAACTAGCATATCGATGGTAGTTATCAAAGTGCAAAATCTCGCAAAAAAAAGTTTTTTGTTGTCAATTTACAGGAGAAGCGAAAAACGGTTACACTCTTCAATTGAGAAATTTGAAAAAGTATTATAATTAAAATAATTTGATATGCTGAAGCATTTTCTGGGGATATACATACTTTTTTTAAATTTTAGTTGCTTGAAAAATGTACTTACGAAGTTTTGATCTTTAATATTTAAAATGTTTACAAAAACTTACGAAATTTTGTAACGCAATGTCAATTTCTAAAAAAATCAGTCTGTTAACAACAACAATTAAATATTTCTGATTTTTTATTTTATCGGTTTCTATCTATCATCTAAATCTAATACAACCTCTCGTGCTACCTAAACTAACTTACAGATGGTCCTGGTCCTCTAGGGACTCCATGACGGATATTTATTAACAATGTTAACAAATTAACAACTAACTTAATAATTGTGCAATTGCCCTCTACCTTATCTACTTAAATAAAAACTTAAGCCTACTACATCCTCTCTTGCTTCCTAAATCTAACCTAAAGTTAGCCCATGGTCCTCGATGTGGTGGCAGGCGTGAAAGGAGTCGCACTCCATTTGAGTGTGCTCTTTTTCGAGGTAATATTGGTATATTTCCAAGTCTTTTGTTCTGGTCAAAGCCGATAAGGCGTTCGATAAGTTCACGTTCCGATTTTGGTAACCAGATCCCTGACTAAACTTTAAATATCAAAACCTCGTAAGTCAAATTAGGATATTTATGCATTACTGTCTGGCAAATACATTTTACGACGTTTTGGCAGATGACGTCGGGGATCCCTAAAATTAATAATGCACTTACAAACCTTCGTATGTTTAAAGAGTATGAATTTTTTGTAATTTTTTGTAAGTGTTTATCGAATAAAAGGCTGAATGTAAAAAAACTCGACTTTATCCACGAGGTTTTGCACTCTAACCAGCGTGTTGGGGGATCAAGTTCTAAACTAACCTGATCCGGCTCGTAAGGACCAAATGTTGGGGGATCAAGTTCTAAACTAACCTGATCCTGCTCGTTTGACCTAATGTTGGGGGTGGCACCTTTATGACCTTGGTCAAATCCAGTTCGTGAGACCGAAATGTACTCGTCTCACTTGGATAAATAATTTAATATGCCAGACACGAGTATTTGAGGGAAAATTTATTTTGTTTGAAGGACCAATGAGTGTGGGGTACCAGTGTTTGGTGGGTATTCTTGTGAGTAGTTGCAGGAGGAAATAAATCTGCCAATTTGAGATGTGCCCGCCGAACTTGCACGGGCGGCACGTTTATTTTGCCACTTTTTCTAATTGGCCTGGGCAGTACGTTCTTTAAAATGGGCTGTATGGCGTAATTATTCTACTTGAGTGGGGAACTGTTTCCAATTAGTTCACTTGATCACTGATTTGATTTGAGGGTGAATAATTACGGGTTGGGTTTTGAGGCACTTCTCTGCCAGAGTCTGCGATGTGTATTGCTTTGAGGCTAAACACTCCCGAATTGTACGACTTGAGGAGAAACAACTAACTGTGTACGATTTGAGGTGAAATTACAAACTGTCTACGACTTGAGGAGACACAACAAACTGTGTTCGAGTGAAAATACAAACTGTGGTCGACTTGAGGTGCGAATACAAACTGATGATCTCTTGTCACTTTTTCGACTGAGGTAAAGAGGAAATCAGAAGTGCAGGGTGAGGGAAACAGGGTATTTCCCACGCTCTGTGCTCGGCTCTGTTGGGTGGTC